TGCAGGTACTTCATTTTAATTTCCATGGCTTTTAAGTGTAATATACAGTATAAACAGTGTAACACATATTTGCAGCGGAGAAACTCAGCCTTTTACTTTTGCTGTAGAACAGAGCAAGATAAAATAATGGCTATAAAATGTCATCCCCATATTTGATAAACTATGACAAAATCTATTAACTGCTTTCATGCTATAGCATGAGATACATCTCCATATCAACACCAGCTCTAGTTTAATGTAGATTCCAGCAAAGGAATTTAACTACAAAAATATATGGAAAATTGCGACGGCTGGAGAGGAGGCATAGTGGCACAGTGGTTAGCATTTCTGCCTCACAAAGCTGGGGCTGTGGGTTCAATTCTGAACCTGGGGTGCTGTCTGTGTGGAGTTTGCATGTTCTCCTCATGTTCATGTCGGTTTTCTACTAATGCTCTGGTTTCCTCCCACAGTCCTAAAACATGCTGGTAAGTTAATTGGTTTCTGGGAAAATTGATCCTGGTGTGAGTGTGTGTGTTTCTGTTCGTGTGTTCCCTGTGTTAGCCTGACGTCCTCTCCTGGGTTTATCCTGACTTGTTCCTGTTGTTTCCTGGAATAGGCTCTGGCTCCCCCTCGACCCTTAATTGGATGAGGCTGTTATAAAATGGCCCAGTTCTACTCTAAATGCTATCCAATACAAGTGTGAAATTGAATAAATTAGTCGAATAAATAAATGCTCCTTCTTCTGAATGAAACAGGAAAAATATGAAAAAGTGTGGAATAAGGACGTGAAGCATTGAAATCACAGAAAGGACAGACTCCAGATATAAAGAGAGCTATTGACTTTGAATAAGCTCTTCTAGGTGGCATATGTGAAACAAAGAAGAAAATACAGTTATGACAGTGATTCCGCATTTTCTGCTGTTTTCTGTCCCCTGGGCCATGGTTTTGTGAGAATACTCTCCAGGTGTGACCCAGTGGACCCTTATCAGAACACCTGGGTGGTTTAGCCTTGTCTGCGTCTGACTGGAGCAATTAAAAAACTCCCATGAGTCAAAACATCGCTGCAGTGCATGTGTGTTTGTGGATATGAGGAGCACCTCCCCTCCTCAGCTGCTCTCGGCTCCTCGGGACCTGATACCATTAATGTGGCTGAACCAGGAGGCCTGGTGGTACTATATCAGCACACCCACTGTCAGCAGTCAGTCTGTCCCAACGGGCAATCTCCTGCCATATGGTTTCATGAATTTAATCCTTTCTTGAACATTTCTTTTATTTGTGTTCAGTTAAACCATAAGCCCGCGAAACATTAAAGCAACTACAGTACAGAACAGACCACATACACTTGTTCCAGTGATGTACGCAATGTTCATTACTACGCCTCAGTAAAAATCAAAAACAAATAAAAAGAAAGGCAAAGAGAAAAGGAGAGAAACGTGCTTAGACGAGGAACCTGAAAACGTCACATTTTCCGAGTTACTTTATCAGCGCTGTCCCGTCTCAGATCTCATCATCTGAGTCACTTTATCAACAGCACTGTCCTGTCACATCATCTGAGCTATCGATATCTGATCCCTAAGAAGGATTAGCTAAAATAACCCCATTGGTTTATTGCGGACCAAGAAAATGCAATAAATAAAAGTCAATTAAAGGTTTATTGGTTAATAGTACCACGTTGCAGTTGGATCCAGGTGTGACAGGATAATAGAGATATATAGCATCATATTAATATCATTAGATCAGCTGTTCACTCTGTAACTTCAGCTTTATCTGGTTAATGACTTAGCCTTCGGTATGTACATTCCAGATCACCACAGAAGGTTGATTTGTAAATCCCAAAGAGTGTGACATTAATCATTCATTAAATTCCCATTAACAACCGTACTATTTGTGTGGAGCATGACCTCGCTCTGCTGCAGTATGTAAAAACTTCAGAAACTGTTAAAAGTAGAAAACAAATCAGTTCTTAACCCCTTGTAATGTTGTGACCATTGTTGTAAATGAATCCTTAAGCAATTTATTGTTCCTTTGATAATTAATCATCTACCATTTTCTTTGGAAAAACACTGCCTAAGCTTGTTATGCTAAATCCAAACTCATTACTTTCTTTTTATAGGCTGTACAGTACCTGGGACAATTTTTTGAGAGTCAGATTGCTCAGTGTTAGAAGTCAGGGTATCTACAAAGTCATCAGTTTCCAAAAGCTTGATATATACCCCTGGGTGTGAGATTTTTGCACACCTCATTCCATCGTCTCATTTTATTTCTTTATTATTTGAGTTATGATGAATTGAGCATCCCACAGGGACTCTCTGGTCTCAGAGCAGCCTGGATGATGGTTTGATGGACAGAACGTGTATTTTAGCAGGAAAAGTAGGTAAATACTGTAGAACGTTTTCAAATACAACATACAGTTCAAACACAAGATTACAGTTGCTGTATTTTCTGGTTCACATTTCATTTTCTAGTGTTGCATGGCTTTTACACTCAATAAAACAGCGAAATTAGGCTGCATGAGTAACTGGGTGTTTCCCAAGTTTTATAACATTACATAAATACACCGCTTTATACCAGTGAATGTCTTGAAAACTGGCTGTTTCAGCTCAAAAGGTTCAGTCGGATAAGTCTACCTCATGTTGTATCTTAACATTCGGACATGAACTTAAATTTGACTGAATGCATCCTAATATTATTAAAACTCTTCAAGATCCATGCCCATCAGTTAGATGGACCTGAGGATCCAGGATGTAGAGGGACTAGAGCTCTCTGGAGTTCTCAATAGGTGGAACTGGAGGAACAGAGGCCAGTGGGTCTGTGGCCACCATTTCAGGTTTTAGCAATGATACATGGAACACCCATGATGTCTGTTGCTCTAGGGAAAGGGCGAGGAGATAAGTGATGGCTTCCTCACGTTCGAGGAATCTGCCGATGAACCGGGGGGCCAGCTTCTGAGACGGTGTCAGAGATGGAGGAGTCACATGGAGAGTCACACTCATTGTCCTAGTCTTAGACGTGGGGCGACTCTCCGACGACATCGACCATCCTGTCTTGTCACAGCACGGCCTTCTGGAGGTTGGGCTATACAAGTTGCTGTACGACTTGCTAAACCCCCACCAGGTTTCAGGCGGGTCTGTCTGTGGCAGGGACGTTTGCAGACTCTGCGGAGAGGAGGTTGGAAGCCGGACTGGCACTCAAAGGGTGACATCGCTGTGGAAGTGCTCATTGAGATGTTCCTGGGCTCAGCCCTGGGCAGAAAGGGTGCCCAGTGGTCCTGGGAGGCTGACATGTGGCAGTCCAGGCAGGTTTCCAGCTCGTGGCTGACCTGCTCCATTTTGGCCATTGGACCAGGGACGGTATCCCGAGAGGTCGAGCCGGATTCCGAATCCCCAGGAGAAAGCCCTCCAGAATCAGGATACCAACTGGGTGTCTCAGCTGGGTGTGACATTAACTCTTTGCTCTCATCACATTTGTTTTTGGTATTTTGGTCAATGTTGTATCACGTCAGGCGAAGAAAGCACATCATCCCAGTGTAACACTGGGTCCGACTAAGGACTGCAAAGTTTTTTTTTTTGTGACAGAAATAGTTGGGTCTCTGGAGTAGCAAATGCAGTGAAACTCCAGGGTCTTGTTTTTAACCAGAAACTGTACAATATGTGCGGATAAGGGAAATGGTTATTTGGACAAGGAAATGAGCAACACTGTAAAACTGCAGTTTTGAAAAAAAAACTATTGTATTTGAAGGCAGGCAGAGACGCCTTCCTCAGCCTTGTTGACAATAAGAGAATGAAATATAACAGGCCTAAGACAAGGCATATTAAATCTCCATTTACATCTATTTATTTTCTGAGCGTGTAACCTAGGGAGGTACTGTCTGAAGTGTTTTAATCCTGTTAAGAACCGTGAAATAGCTACATTAATGACCAACAGAAAACATGTGCCCATGTCTTCAGGATAATATCCCTTTTTGTAAATTCATTATTTTAATGGATTGTTCTTTATAGCAGGGATTATACTTTAAAAAGTCTACGAAAAAAAAACAGAATTAAAAATTGTACAGTCCATTAATGGTTCCATGAACTTCCAAATGAAAAGTGGCCTGTTTAATGAGGTGTCATAATGGTTTGAAAATCACAGTCACACTCAGTGTGCTGTATTGCGTACTTTTAAAATTGTGTAGCGGGATATGGAAGCTGAAAAAAATAAGAAATAATTTTCAAAGTTTTTCTTTTACTTCAAAATTTCAAAAAGAAAGATGTGAGTGAGAGGACAGTAGCAGTTTCAAAGATTATTTCTTCGCAGGGTGATTCTCCAGTCATGATATGAGCTGCAGTCAGAGCTGTGGCTTGTTGGCTGGTGATCATATGATCAGTTTCTGACTGGGGTAGTTCTGTATGGAGTTTGCATGTTCTCCTCATGTTTGCCTGAGTCTTCTCCAGGTACGCAGACTTACTCCCATATTCCAAACATCCCAGTTAGGCTAATTTGTGACTGTTTGGGTAATTCCCGATCAAGTTATTACCCCCCTTGGCCCTATTCTACTCTCAATAATAATAATTGCTTACACTTATATAGTGCTTTTCTGGACCCTCCACTCAAAGTGCTTTACAGGTAATGGGGGCTCCCCACCCCCACCTGGATGATGCGATGGCAGCCATAGTGCACCAGAACGCTAACCACACACCAGCTATTAATGGAGGGGAAAACAGAGTAATGAAGCCAGTTCAGAGATGAGGATTATTAGGAGGCCATGATTGGTAAAGGCCAATGGGAAATTTGGCCAGGACCCTGGGGTAACACCCCAACTCTTTTCGAGAAACGCCCTGGGATTTGTAATGAGCACAGAGAGTCAGGACCTCAGTTTTACGTCTCATCTGAAGGACAGCGCCTTTTTACAGTATAGTGTCCCCATCACTATACTGGGGCATTAGGACCCACATGGACCGCAGGGTGAGCACCCCCTGCTGGCCCCACTAACACCTCTTCCAGCAGCAACCTTAGTTTTTCCCAGGAGATCTCCCATCCAGGCCCACACCTGCTTAGGTTCAGTGGGTTGCTGAAAAGAGAAGAAAGAAAACACAACGTTTCAGCCGTGGAGCCTTCTTCAGGTGTGAGTGTCTTGAGCCCGCTGCTTACTGGAAAGGCTCCGCGACTCCGTATTGGATAAAGAGGTTAGAACATGGCTGGATGGATGAAGAGACATTATACTGTACATATAATACAATGCTGAAAAAAAGGCCCAGGACTTCTTACTCATTCAACTTGTCTACATTAGCTGTGATTCATACTAATGTTTCTCATCTGATACAGGGCACTTGTAAAGAGCTATACCTCAACTCTCCATCTCTCTCAGTGACATACAAGTAAATTCCCATGAAGTGTAAGCCCTATTAAGATTGCTTTACTTACTTTTAATTATTTAAATGGATTTTATTTACAGATTACATTCAGATATCTGAGCTCACTGCATGTTTGGGCCAAGTTCTGGAAGGCTGAGATTTCAAATGATTGTGGTCCACAGCAACATTTTCTTCCCATTTTCAGAATGCACAGAGAAACAGAACAGAGCTACACATCTAATGGGAGACAAAAATAGTTTGAATGGAAAACAAAATGTTATAGTTCAAAGCATAGAATTTAAATCAAGGGTTGTTTTGTTAAAGTTGTACAACTCAATTCAAATACTGGGCACAATTCAGGTCACCACATTATAGAAAATATATGGGATTCTCATCCAGAGAAGAGCAACCAGACATACTCTAGGACTTAAGGGAATGTCCTAAACTGACAGGCTGAAGGAACTGAAACCTGAAACTTTTAGTCTTGATCAGAGAAGACTTTGAAGGTACCTGATAGAAGTATTCAAAAATTGTAAAGGTCTTGAAAATGGCAACCCTGTGTACTTATTCAGTAAGAACAGTGAAATATTGATATTTAAGACACAAGATAAGATAAGATCACTTTATTGGCCATGTACAATTTATTGTATTAGGAATTTGTTTTTTCACATACCCCAACTTGCTCTCCATGAGACACAGACCCCAACTTGCTCTCCATGAGAAGCTTGGGGTCAGAGTGTAGGGTCAGCCATTTATACAGTGCCCCTCGAGCAGTTGGGGTTAAAAGCCTTGCTCAGGGGCCCAACGGAGTAGGATTCCTCTGTTGGCCGTGGGTTACGCATCAGCAAACTTCCAGCAACAGGCGCAGATCCAAGTGGAAACCACATAAATGTACATTTAAAACTGACAACAATGTGCCCAACGAATTGTTGGAGTATGGAACAAGCTATCCTGCCGTGTTATTGAAGCCATTTCATGAAACAGCTGGATGACATCTTTGGATTAATTACTAAATAGCACACTAAGTTGATGAGCTGAAAGATATTTTCTCATATGCAACTTTTTTATGTTCTTAATCAGTCTGATTGTAAGTACCTCTGGATTTTTCTTGTACGGTTATCAGAAATATAGTGATTCTGTAGGTCAGTCAAAGGGAAATTAAATTTGAATTTACACATAGAATTAAAAGTGTATAGTGCACATACAGTATGAATAAACCATTCATACAAGAACAGTAGTAATTGTGGCAAAGCATTCCTAACTGTGGTAAAAAACAGCAAAATAAATAAATTACAGAAAGATATAAGAGGGATATTAATGCAGAAATTCATTTGTTATACTTGATGGCTTTTAGTCTGTTTTGCATGAATAAATGGATTTATCCTGGAAAATCTTTTAACTGCTTGACAAATTCTCTCTGGATGTTAACTGACGCTGGTAATTATAGACACTGAAGTCTGAATTGAAATAAAAAAAATCCCATAAAACTTTCAGGCTGCGCTATTAATGAGGCAGAACCATGCTAAGACACACCTACGGGCAAGACATCAAATTGAAAATATCCTGTTTGTTTTATAATGCTTGACTCTCTGGGTAAGGGCAGACAAATGTTTAAATTCAATCCAAACACCGTCAAGCACTAACACACACAGTTCACACAAACACACACATACAGTATACAGGTGCACACATACAGGTATACAAACACAACAACACACACAAACACAGTTAACACATACTGTACACATGTACTAGTGCACACACATAGGGATACAAACACTCAATGACATACTGTATGTGAACTCATGTACACACACACAAACACAGTTAGCACACACGTGCACTCATGTACACACACAGTTAACACATACACAAGTACTCATCCAAACACAAAGTTAATGCATAGACGTGCACTTGTGCACACTCACTGTTATGCAAACACAGGTGCACACAGGGATCTGACACATGTGCTCTCATTTACAGTCAGACAGATATGTGCACTCATGTACTGAATTTCCTCATTACGTATATAGTGTTTATAGTATTTAAATATTCATGTTGAGAAAAAGATTGAAATAAATAAACCATCTTTCAAAGTCATTAGTGATATGTACCAAAGGAGCTTTCTCTGTATTTCATATTGGAAATGGTACCTTATACTCTATATACAAAATACATTGATGTCTGGTATCTGAATATCTGAAACACAGCAAAGAACCCTTTCTTCGTAAGTATAGCAGCACTTATGTACTGTGTACTCGTGTACATTGGTGCACGTGTGTGTCAGCCTGGCTAAAAATGCTCACAAGATTATTGCATATGTGTCGTGTTTAAATACTGTACAGTGTATGCATTCATAGGAAAACATAAAGAGATGTAAGTTAAGTTTCGACCAACGATATTTCAGTGCTTTTTTTTCTTTTTTGAGGAAGATGCAACATCGGAAAGGAAAAAAAAATCTTATTCAGAATAAAATATGACATCTAAGAAACAAATGCTTTCTCTGCAGCGATTTCTCATGTGAGACGTGTTTCAATATGAAATGCCCCGGTTTTGTCCACTTTTTGTTTTGTCTGTATATTACCAGCTCTTTATATAACCGACCTTTAATTGCTTCTGCCCGATTCAAACCGTAATTCTGGAAGGATATGAGAATCATAGCTCAATTTTAAACCTCAGCATTTATTCATGCTAATTGGTCGCTGCTCTTGATGACCGTATAAAAAAACGTGCCCACTTTATCACAACCATCTCCGAGGGCTCTTTCCTATCAGCTCTGTCCCGAAAAGGCCGGATAATTGAGTTGAGTTGTTCTAAGGACACAATTTCACTTTAAATTTGATAATGGTGGTGCCTGACTTGTAAAATTCAGAAACTTGGTTAAATTAGCAGCATATGATGCAGTTTCAAACCTAAAGACCAAGTTGCCATTGATAGGAAAGAAAGTGCAGTCTTCATTAGTGACTTTTCACGTTTTAGTATACGTATTTTCTGCAGATACTGAGCAATTGCCCACAGTGAACTCTTACGGTTTGCTGTTTTCTTTTTAAATATGATTATGTTAATGTTTATTAATACAAATGCTGCCTTTTTAAGATTCTGCCAATATTTTTTTTTCATTTCAAGAAATTAACCACCGGCGTGTTATGAATCACTCTAGAGTTTTTTTGCAGTAAGGTATATTTTCAACAATAACACGTATAAACATGTTATAAATGCAAATGAAGCACGCTGTACTAAAAATCAGCATTTTTTTAAATCATATGAAGCGCTGAGGCCGGTAGAAATAAGTGAACAGTGAAAAACGGTAATTTGCTTTTGTTTTGTGTTTTTGTTTTTGCAAGGGCAGCACTTTAAATTGGAAAAAAAAAGACGAAAGCGCCTCTCTCACCGTTCTGTGGTGATTAAATAGTTTTTACAAAAGCTGTCGGGTATTCCTCATTGCATAGCATCTGGTTACATAGCGCGCGAGGCTGGGGTGCATTACTAAAGCTCGGGACGCTGTTCTTGTTTCTACAGAAATGAAACCTCGTATATCCCCGATGTCCCGCTGAAGGACTTGTTCTCCGCATGCCCTTCTGACTTTAATAATTCAAATCCCCAATGCAAATAATCTTCATTTGACATGGTTGAGTAATGCTACCTGATGGTTAACCCTCGGGCTTAGTTACCGTGCTGAGAGGAAACTGCGCTAGTGGAGCACACAGCAGTTCAATTGGCCTTTTTGACTGAATATCTGTTACGTACTGTATAGCCAACAGGCCAAAACTCAACTGGGTGCTGACAATGTTTTTTGAACTTCAGAAGGCGACAAACTTCTTTTTTCAAAAAAAAGAAAGAAAAGACGGCGGGGTGGACAAGTTTTAAAATTAATTATTTCAGATGACACAAGTTATTACTCGTTACATGCACATATACTGCATCTACTGTACACACGTACTGAATGCAGGTTGAATTAATCGGCAGTTAGGACACCGTAAATCATAACGCCGGTACTGTATATGGATAGGTGAAGAGTCGTGATATTATCTGAAGGCAAAAAGGCGAGGAAACACTGAAATAAAACTCATCTGCAGTTTCTCTTTTTTTCCAAATTGTGAGGAAGTTCAAAAAAGCACTTTTGAAACGTAATTTTGCCACCTTCCGACCCTCGGAATAAAATTTAGCCACGAATTTTATTACCTGCTCAGACTTGGGTAGTATTTCACCAACGTGCATACAAGACATAACGTATCTGCGCAAGTTGGTGTTGTTATCCTAGCAAACAAGGGAGTCGCACGGAACTGGTGCTGATAATCTCTCATTATTCTCAGTCCCAGGGTGCCCCTGTAGCATATTGCTTGTGCTCCTATGGAGCTCGGCTCGTCCCGGGGGCTGGATGAATGGAAGACGATTGCGGCGTATATTACCACCCTGCCTGGGGAGTAGCGCACAGTCATATAGTATTTACATGCCACATGGCAGCTGTTCTCTTGTAAATCTGTATCTTGCGAATATCCTTTTTATCTGCATGAGACAATAACTCAGTCTCATTATTTGGGTCTCGTGTGGAAAAGACTGGCTACGTTTTAGCAAGGCCTTCCAGAACATGGAGATTTTTATGCGATAAAATATATACAGTATATATATATATGTGTGTTCTGAGATTTTTTTTAGCATATTATTCATTTCTCGTTTCTCGTGGTATGTTATTTATCGCGCAATATGCTGCTTTTATTTTGTTCTCCTTCAAATGGCTGCTGGTTTGCACCATGCAGTGCTTATAGTGCAGAAATTGTATTGTAATGATCACTTTCCGCACACAGGCAACGTGAGAAAGTCCGTTTTTCTAACTGTAATACAGTCTTTTCTCCCTAAAATGTACAGCGACACAGGTAGCTACGAAACGAGTTTTTAAAACCTTATTTCGAGCTGGGATGAAACTGAGCGCGGAAAGTACCAACCACCTTGCCATTACAAACCGCAAAAAAAGAAATATTGAAATATCACTCTGGTTTCAGAATCTGTAAATGGGAATGAGTTTCAGGATTAGCAATGACTAAAAAAAACTTGAAACGTGATACATATTATTTTGGTAGTACAATCGTTATCACTAGAATATACGATACTGTAAAGTGTAATACTCAAATCGCCGGTTTAACGGGTCGGGGCAGTTTTTTAACCTGGTGTAGAACTTTCCTTAGTTTTTCTATGGGGATGGATAGGTTGGCACCTACAGTATACACATTATGATACAAAACACATGATGAGGTTAGGTTTAGAAATAAGAACTCTATTTAAAAGATAAAAATAATCTTTTAATGTCCATGTCTATGTTCATTTATAAAGACATCCTTTATAAATTGTTCAAATTATCTGTGCTAGACTAATTTTATATTTCAATGAAAATGTCTTATTTGACTGTTTTCCTGGGCAATTAGCACACTAGGGGTGAGCCTGAGACAGGCGAAGAACAGCGCGAAAGAGATAAATGTTTCAGAAATGCCACTCAGGGAATTCCTCAAAAGCTCGCAACAGATTTGTTCAGTTATGAGATGTAGATTTTTTAATATATGGCGACGAGACCCTCTATTGCAAATAAAATGTAATTTTGCCTCATTATTTCAGCCTGAAAATATTCGGCGGGCTTCAGGCAAGATTTATCACCACTGGGGTTATTATCATTATAAGAACATTTAGCAGGGGTCCCTGTTGTCAGCACTGCTTATCATAAGAAAACATCTCCCTAATAACCTTAACAAGAACAGTGCCTGAGGATGTCCTGTGTCTTCTGCTGAAAGAGCCACCAGTGTGCTCTCTGTGGCACTCAAATGACACATCCTCTTCCCTTCCCAAAGTCACCCAGTCCCTAATTTCACACTTTACTTTTAATAGACCTATTTGCTGTCGAGCAATATTGTTCTGCACTTGCTATCCCGACAATCTCCGCCATCACACCAGGTCTTTTCGGCAATCCAGCTGTTTTTGCAGATGTTGAGGGCTTCAAGAAACCGCTTATAGGAAGGAGTTACGATTTCTTTGTTTGCGATACGGATCTGTGAAGATGCAGACGAACAGTAAAATGCTCAGGAGTCTTAATTTTTTTATTTCACGGTTATTGTTCTGGGACAGCTCAGCTGAGCTGCGCTAATTCTTGCAGCGGTCCGTAAAGGAGGGGGTGGGGTGTCCTCGTAAAATACCAAATTACTGCCCGACTCTTGTGTGTAGCTTCAAAAGGGCGTTCTCATCAATGGACACGGTGGCTGAAATCCTTACATGTTTAAAAAATATTACAGTTTTTTTTTCTAGCTTGCTAGTGGCAATGTTACAAACCAAACAACAGCTTGTTACAGAGCTCTTAACTGTACTCTGCATCAGCAGTTTTAAAGAAGAAAGGAAAGTTCATAAATGTTGAAAAGGGTATTTACTGTATGCTTCTCTGATTAAAAGATAAAAGTATCTTTTAATTTTGTATCAGATTTACACTCTAGTGTGTGACATAATGTACTTTTAGAAGAGGTTGCATTGAGTGACTGTACTTCTCCCTATTCTTACAGTCTCTTTTTATTTTGTCCTCCTTATCCACAGCAAAAACATATTCTCTTTCTTTTTTACTCCATGGCATGGAATTAACCTCCTCTTGTACATTATGGCCTTTTATGGACAACTGTCCTGGTCAGGGGGTGAATGAGCCCAGCAGTGTGGCAGAGGGTGACAAAGGACAGTAATTAAAATGAGTGAGATTTTCCACCCAAAAGCAAAACATGATTCTATATCAGCTATGACACAGACTTTCAGTTCAACCAGCCTTACTTTACTGCCAATCCAGCTGCTATAACCCAAAGAAATAAACAATACTTCCCAACTCATGGAATACAATGGAAGATCATTCCCTGTTCTAGGAAAATGAAGCAACATTACAATGTTTTAAACAGCAAAGTTGCACCTTAATTATAGTTTTGTTTACACTGTAGTTTTATGTAGCTTCCACATGGTTAGGATCCTAGTTTACCACATCACACCTTGTACAGTATCCTGTACTAACACACTTTTAATACCCTATACTTTTACTGTACTGTACCAAACTAAGACTTTAATGAGACCAATTTTAGTGTTGCATCTATACTGAAAGGCATTAAGAATGCAACAAAGGCATATCAGAACGCAATAGCATTTATTGTATTTTTAATGCCTCTTGGTGTATTTGTGTAAATAAATGTTAGCATTTTCTCTTCAGAGACCCCGCTCAATTCTGCATTTATTTTCTCAAGCTCGTCCAGTTTGCCTTGAGAGTCTCACATCTTTCAAGTACGGGATATGCCTGACTCTTTTTTTAAACCAAGACCACGCAGGAACAAACTACAGTCCTGACAGCATTTTCCTACGGAGAAATTTGGATAATGTTCCAGAGGGAAGCAGGCCACTGCCCACGTTAACCTTCAAACCTGGAAACAACGAAGAAGTTTAGGAACTTCTTTCATCATTAACCTCAACCCCCTTTGCTCCATCATCATTGTGAACACACTTCCAAAAGGCCCAACCATCAATATGTCACATCGGATTAAGCTGTCGCCTCCTTTACTGTAGGTTGGCAGCCGAATGTGAGGTTGATCTCTGGAGGAAATGGTAATGAAGGTGATTAGGAGCTGGCCCTGCCGCAACTCTGCCTGAGAATTGATCTCCCAGGAGTTCTCCGTCACAGACAGCTTGGGTACCACAAGTACAACCTGTTCACTCTACATCAGGGGCAAGTGAAGGACTTCCCGTTTCTTACTATGTGCAGCACAATTTCAGCAGAAATTACATTTCCACAAAACATGGATTTCAAAAAAAGAATTCTACATTATTTCATTATGTGAAGGTTAATACCTCAAGCACATTTATATTTTCACCTGGTGCGTATGCAGTTACCCTTTGTCATTTTGCATAACCCTAGGCCTAGTTATTATCACAATGTTTGTGATTATACATGTTTTTTTGTGGTTTATGGCTTTTTAACATATTGTTATGCCGGTCTATGATCCAGGGAGGTTAACTTTCCTATTGAAATCAATCTTTTCAGTCTTTAATGCTTTTACACAAGTAACAAATTAAATCTCAATACACCGCCCTCTATACCTGTGTGCTTGAATGATTTCACAGCCCCTCCTCGATCAGAATAACCTGTCCTCAATAATCCTCTGGTAAAGATTGTGGCAGCTCAGAGTCTGTTCCAGAAGTATTAGGGCTGCACCCTGGATTGTACCCCAGTCCGCTGAAGGGTGGACACGCACAGGCAATTTAGAGACACTAAGTAACCTAGCCAGCATATCTGTGAGAGGTCAGGAGGAAAGCATCTGGAGAGAACTCAGAGAGAACAAACAAACTCCACACAGAAAGTAACCCAGTCTGGAATCGAACCCAGGACCCAAAAGCTGTGATTCACTAGTTCTAATTCTCACGACCCTTGTTTCTTATGTTTCCATAGGTGCTAAAGCAATCCTTTAACTTTTGATGGAGTTTTTGATAATACAGTACAATGTTTCTAAGTGCCTTTTTTTCAAGATGATCCTCAGAACGTGAGTAATTTTGCTTCGTAACAAGTAGAAAAGATATAATACCACTCTATATACAGTATCCCACTTTGTGGTGATGCAACACTTCAGAATTTTCATTCTCCTGACAAGAATATTGAAAGAAACTGAGGAAGACTGCACAGTAATTGTAATTAAATGGCACTGAATTAAACCAAAAGCATCTTACAGCTTTACATCTGATAGGATGGGTGTAACCGTCCTCTTTACACGGTACCTTAACAATTTAGTCCACCGCACACTGTCTAGAGGCAAAGGTGATCATTTTGTTCGATTTTTCAAATTAGCAGTTAAAGTAAATAATTGTTCAGAATAAGACTTTCTCTTATTAGGTATTGCACCTTTCAACTATTACAATTATTTTTTTTTCATTGAAAACTTTTTTTTGCAGTTGAGTGGAAAGCTTTTAAAAGCAGTCAGTTCACTCCTTATTATGCGATTTCAAAATGGCTAGTCACAAAGAGCACAAGGTGAAGCACGTACTGATTATCACAGGCAGCACTACAATTAACATGAAAGCTAAATGAATCTTCTTAATATATCATATACTGTTTGTAATCTGTTAAATTCACCCTGAACTGTATGTGTTTGCTTATTATTCGCGAACAGCGGTCCTTTATTGATATGCAAATAGCCGTATAACGGCCAATATTCAACTTGAAAAATGTGGCATTTTTACATTTTTATCACCGAAAAAAATATCTTCCAGTTCTGTTGTTTCCATTTACTTTTATCTTTGACACTGGGGATGCTTCGGCTAATTTTGAAGGGATAAAAGACTCGCTGATTATGCATGACATTCAAGACAGAGACGCTTATATTTCCAATATCATTAACTGCATGAACTCTCTGGTCTTGCAGCCCAGTTACCTACCATGGGATCGGCGTTGGCGAACAGCCTGCAAAGACACGCACACATTTCTGGACGCAGACTGCGCAGTCAAGGCGGCAGGAGCAGCAGCGCCCCCTGGCGCTTGCCGAGAGAACGGCCGTAAGGTGCAGCCGTGACGTCAAGCCCGGAGTGACTCAGTGTTGTCATGTGAAGGAAGGCGAGTCAGTTCCTGCCTGCGAACAAACCAGGAAATTAAGACTTGTAAATATTCGCCGGACAGAGCTGCCTTAGTTTTTTGTTTTAGCACCCAGATCAATTATTTATTTCCATTTTATTTGAAACCCTTGCGCCGCTTTTCACAAATCGTCCCAAGCTATGGCTTCTTTATTCAAGAAGAAGACGACAGATGGTGAGTTTGTTGCCGGTTTCCAAGTTGTTTGGAGGGGCCTTCCTTACTCGTTCTAGGCAACTGTGGGGTTTGGGGAAAGAAACTTTTTTTGTAAAAAAAAAAAAACAGCGTAGACGAACAGAGTGGAAGCGTTGTCCTGCGGCACGATGTTACAGCGTGCTTCAGTCTAAAAAGCCGGATTTATTTTCGTGCTACAAGGACAGATCAAAAAGTTGATATTATTTCCCATTCAGGCGATGAGCGAGTGCCGGGGGTTGCAGTCCGTGCGCTCTCTTGCTGCTGTGAGCGATCGGTAACTTTAAAAGGGCTGGCAGTGCTGATACACGTACTGTCCATCCCATCACGGAAAACAGAAGAGAAACCAAAACGCATGTCGCGTTGCCTAAAAACACGAAGGGCAGAAATGAGCGAAGCAGCACTTCGAAAAGAGCTGTCCCAGCTCGTGTCTTTTAAGAAACGTGCGTAAGTCTTGATTTCTAATAAATTAGGTGTAAACTTATTTCTAAAGCAGGTTCATTTCTCTGAGCGCAAGCCATGCTGTGCACATGATATTACTCATATTGACACCGCGGTTAATTCATAGCCAGCGCAGGCAGTTAAAGGGGTGGGGAGACAGACAAACGGACTGCCAAAGAAGAGATCTGAATACCTTGATAATGATCGGTTTTTGTGCTCCGCTTCTTCACCCCTGCGTAGTGTTATCCTTGCGCCGGCTGGGCTGCTTGTTCTTGAAGTTCCTGCCTGGCTGTAGCTCTGTCGCCTGTTGTCCAGGGACTGTCATTGTTGAGTCAGGGTCACGCTTCCCTGTTCTCTAAAAAAACAGAGCCAACCTGCTTGAACGCATGAGGAACACGAATACAGGTGCCTAAATTGTTACATAACATTACTAACGCCAGTCTCCAAAGAGAGTTACATTTATACCTATTTATAAAGCTGGATGTTGTACTGGAGAAATCTGGAGTCTGAAGTACCTTGCTTAAGTGTATTCTCATATACATGCACACGCACACAAAAATATACATACTGTATAGCTTCTCTTTTACAATTTAAGCAATATATCCTCCTAGTAAGCAACAGACTGAGTTTAGAAAAGCTGGATATAAAAGTCCTTAAAACCCAGGCAGCAAGAAGACAAAAGGGAGTGATGAGCCTCCTTCTAGTCCCTCAGCGCTGCCTCACCTGACCTCGCCGCTGCTGTGACTGACCTGTACCAAGTGGTGGCGGCGGCGGTCTCCGTGTGGGTGCCGCGGGCGGGCGCGGTGAGCTCGGTGCCCGCGTGTGCCCGGCGTGCGGTCCGGGAGCGCTGTGCGAGGAGGTAGTTTGTCCTGCGGACGTGCTGGTGTGTTTTAAACATCACTCCCCTCCTCCCGTCTCGCTGCTCATCGCTACGTCACCCCACTCCTGAGCCCCTGTTCGCGTTCCTCGCACCAGGAGAGGTGAGCTTCGGAGTCTGACATGTCCCCCGGATGTCTTGCCGAGGGGCCGGACAGGACAGACATCAGCCGAAAACTTTTTTTTTTTTGCAAGAGCTTAATTTTGTTTGGGGGGGCTTAAAAGAGATGATGCGTGCACTTTAGCCTTCTCTTCGGCTGCCTCCCAGTTTACAAAAAACGTGGATCGTGAAGAGACTGGAATATTTATCAGTATGGGGTCATTTCTATTGAATCCTTTATAGATTTTTCAGCTTTTTTGTTTTATCTAAGAAACTCAACTGCAGCAAAAACTCCAGCATGCATCTTTGTGGTTCATTGTGCAATGACTTCAAACTTTCAGCAGATTCTGGTCATTAAGGAACAGCTTTTAACTTTTAACCTCCGCTGAACTGTTACCTTTTTCTTTAGAGAAGGTGCAGCGCAATGCTTTTATGGGATGAGAGCAGATTTTTTCCATCCTTTTCAGCTAGCTGGTTCTGTGTCGCCTGATTCTCGGGCAGGCGTGGGGTACTGGCAGTGAGACTTGTGCAGTTTTTAAGTGGAGCCTGCTGTAGGCAGTGCAGTTAATTCGGCACGTGCCTTCCATCAGTGTGGCTGCTGTTAAAAAAACCCAAGCAAAGGCTGCTTTTTCAACATTTCAGCCATTGAGCCCTCTTACTCGCACCAGGAGAAGCTCACGAGCTGATACCTTTTGTTTTCCCCGCGTTTTTGTTTCTGTTGTTTCACTTTTCAGGGCGGATTTAACCTTTTAACTGCTCGGCGGCCTGCCAGCGCACGCCGCCGCAGCTCCCTGCTGGCCCTGCTATTAAAGAAAGTTTGATTTGCCCCTCTGCCCTCTCTGCCCCGGGAGGGCTTCTCTTTCGTCCCCCGGGTGCCGGGCCCACGGACAGGCTGCGAGACAGACACCCGGTGCGTTTAGGCGACGCGGGGCTTTGCCGCGTTCAGTCATGCCTTCAGTGTCCGCGCTGCGTTAAGGAGCCAAAGGCTGGCGCTAGGAGCCCCTGTGTTTCGCGAGCCGCGCAGCCAACGCGGACACAGAGCTCTGAGGCGGGCCCGTGGGCATTCCCCGGCTCTTGGAAGTTTAATTGCCATTCATGAGGTGGCAGATAGCGGGCTGATTGGAGTGCAGGAAAGCGTGTCTTCCCTCTAAGCCCTGCTCCTCTGGCAGGGTGGCCTGACAGCATGGGGCGTTCTGATCTGCATAGAAATGCGTGGCTGGGGCTTTGTGACAAGCCAGACAAGCCCAGCTCGGGGTGGGGGGGTTGCCGGGAGACCCTCGGCATCCACTGCCGCAGAGTTAAGAGATCTGTTCAGCTTTTCACCACTGAGAATGATCACCCGTGTCTTAAAGTGGAGCTTTTGTTAATGATGGAGACTCGCGCAGCTCAAGCTGACAGATGTCATCGAAATAACGTGCTTCATTTCTGCCTAACGGCCCATTTGGATGAAGACATTGTTCATGTAGTCTGTGTTGAGGCGGCTTTCACGACGTATTACACCTGTTTATATTATGAAAGGTAGACGGCTTGTCTTCTGCAACGAAGCCTCTGAAAAGTACATGCAGGTCCAGGTGAGTGGTATTTAGCACTTAGTAACAGCACAGATTGGACGCGTCCTGCCATTATGGGTTCTAACCCTGACCCTTTTTATCAACATAAAGTACGTCAGTTTGGAAAAGACATCAGCAGTTCTCGCGCGGAGGCAGCTCCACGACAGGCATGGTGTCCTTTACGGGGCGAGGAGGGGGGGGCGTTCATGGAAAGTGGGAAAGAAAGGGGGTTCTTGTCGGAGCAAGGAGAGAGTTGGGGGGCTCCCCCAGCAGCCGCGGCCGGGAGCTGTCGGAGGACTCGGCAGGCGTGGGAGTCGTAGGCAGAGAGGAATCGGAGCTTCTCGGGTTTCCTGTACTGCAGATCTGTGTGCCAAATGTGAGATGCCTGATTTACCAGCAGCCATAACACCCTGCAACACGTAACTGGCAGGCCACTGTAGCTCAGCAGGTGTGAGCCTGGTCAGTACCTGGATGGGAGACCTACTGGGGAAAAACTAAGGTTGCTGCTGGAAGTGGTGTTAGCGGGGCCAGTAGGGGGCGCTCACCCTGTGGTCTATGTTGGTCCTAATGCCCCAGTATAGTGACGGGGACATTATACTTTAAACAGGCGCCGTCCTTTGGATGAGACGTAAAAACCCTGACTGTCCAGGGTCATTAAAAATCCCAGGGTGTTTCTAGAAAAGAGTAAGGGTGTTACTCCGGCGTCCTGGCCAAATTTCCCATTGGCCCTTACCAATCATGGCCTCCTAATAATCCCCATCTATGAATTGGCTACATTACTCTGCTCTCCTCCCCACTGATAGCTGATGTGTGGTGAGCGATCTGGCGCACTATGGCTGCCGTCGCATCATCCAGGTGGGGCTGCACATTGGTGGTGGTGGAGGGGAGTCCCCATTACCTGTAAAGCGCTTTGAGTGGAGTGTCCAGAGAAGCGCTATATAAGTATAAGCAATTATTATTATTATTAGTAGTAGTAGTTCAGTGTTGCAATACAATAGGAATAGTTGCTGTACAATAGGAAATACTGTATAATATTTAGTATATAATCTGAGTTTTGTGTATTTCCCTTTAATAGCGAATTGTAATCATTAGTTTGGTCTTTTGATTTAGAGACAAGGAGACAAAAGGATTGTCTTTTACCATGAAATTGTTCAGATTCATTTCCATTCACTGCAGAGCCTCAGTGTAATACCACACCATCCACTGTAGAGGAAGTTCCCACATTGACCGTTGACCCTGAGCATGACGTGAATTGCGCAACTTTAGGTGTCATAACGGCAGATAACACCCTGCCCCTCCTATGATCTGCTTGTCTTGCTGTGCGTTGTGAGCGGTGAAACTTCAGAAGAAGAAAAAGCACTTACATCGCTAAATTTCCTTTGACAAATTTTGTGCAATCTGTTGTAAAGTGCTCTTGAAAAACAGATGTAGCAGCTTTTTTGTTTTAAAGGGCTCTGGACTTGTACCCGAGAGGTTGTGGGTTCTAATCCTGGCCTCCTATTGTACCCTTAAGCAAGATATTTCACTCAGTTTGCTTCAGTAAAGCGTCCAGCTATCTAAATGGGCACAAAAAAATAAGTCTCTTGGAAAATAAAGTGGCTGCTGAATACATTAATAATAACAACTGGAGTTTCATTATAATATTCAGAGGCCATTGACAGAATTTAAGCTCTTTGATTTTTACCACCATCAAAATGCTTTTAGCTTTCATAGAAGTGTCGTTTGTCCAACACTTTGTTTAAGTTGCCTTCATTTTTCAATTCTTGCTTATGGCATGTGGTGTCGAGAAGTATAGAAATCCCAGCCATACGCAACTCCTCTTCTCCCCCTTCCTGTAGACTTACGAGCTCTGATGTCCTCAGCAGGTGGTTTGGTGACCTCGGTCGAGCTGCCTCTGTCTCTCTGTGTTGAAGGACAGCCCTTGTCACTGCAGTGCCACTGGCTACTGCTTTTATTTTACCACTAAGTCATGTCAAATGTCTGTCAGTCTGGAGCATTGTGCCATGTTCTTTGTTGTGACAGGATCCTGCAGCTGATAGAAACTGAGAAAAAGGCTGTCTTGCTTTCTCTTCCTACAGTCTCTACAGCTGCATCTTTATTATGCCTTTTGATGGTCAAATAAACTTCACAGGAATATTACTGTCCTGCCCCATGAGCCTTGTAGAGCTCTGCAACATTTGCATCGCACTCCTGTCATTAACAATGTAGTTGGGAGTCGCCTGTTAATTATTTTCATATTGTGCTAATTAGATGGAATGCTGGCAGGATTGATGGCAGGGAAACGCACTCAGAGCACAGAACAATTACTGTAAGTCAGCATCTCTTTTTGTCCCTCTCGTGTCACAGATATCATAAAAGAACAGAATCGCGAGTTAAGAGGGACCCAGAGACAAATCGCCAGAGACCGGGCAGCACTGGAGAAACAAGAAAAGCAACTGGTAAGTTGAAAATCTGTGGGACGGACGTCTTATCTCAGAGTATCAGAGAAGGCAAGACAAAGTCTTTGTGTCTTCCTTGTGTCTCTTCCGGTCACCTAAGATGAAGGTGGGGAGGGGAGGGTCTAGGGGATTGTCTCTGAAGACACTAATGGTGCTCGATACCCTTGGCAGGAATTTGGTTTCTCGCTCAGCCGTCTGAGGGTGGCCTTGGAAATTTGGCACCGTTGTGTTTTTTTTCCCCAAATTAAAATTTAAAGAAAATCCGTAGCAGGGTCCGCGTCTATCTGTGCCGCCCGCCACCGGAAATGGAATACTAGATTTTTCCCGAAAGAACAGAAGCCAAAACTCAAGTCCAGTGAGTCGCTGCTGTTCACTGCTGATCCTGGAGGGGGCGCTGTGTTTTCTGGTTTTCATTCCATCTTGGACACTTACTAACTTTGTTGGGATTGCTCACTTTATTGATCGGCATCACCATCATTTCAGGGTCTTAAATCATCAAGAGTTTTAAGTGACTTATCGAACTGAGCTCTGCAGGAGAAGAGTGGTTATCACTGGCCTGAATGTGGCTTTGTTTGTATCTCTCCCGTGTAGACTACCAATTGGGAAATGTGAGAGCTTTCCTTCAGTTTGCAACTTCCATGCAAAACCTGTAGCACTACGCGGTTTTGAAAGTAAACATCCGTATGCATCTAATTGCCTCTCTTGGGCGTTCTAATTATTTGTTAATTAATCCTTCTTCTAATTAATCCAGACAAAGCTGTGTTGTGTGTTTTCTTAAAAGCCAGTTTTCTGAAAATGAGAAATGACATGGAAGACTTTAGCATTAATCTAGCTGTGCTGAGCACGATCTTTCAGCAGAATATTTTTTGTGCGTTTTATTGTGCTCACACCCTTGCAGGATTTTTGACTCTCTTTACTTTTTTTTTGAATGTAGAGTAATTTTATTTCTCAGTAGTTTGTTCTGTGAGCAGCGTAATGAGAAACAATACCTTTGTTTTTTCTCTATCATACAGCTGCTTCATTCACTACATCCTAATAGCTCTGAGTTAGCAAAATTGCAGGGTTTTTTATAGGCCATTAAATAGGGATTATGTTAGTATACTAAGCTGTTTTCTCCCAAGACTTGAATGTAGAAGTACATCCATTTTTTAAATTGTAGTCCCAACAGCCATATTTTCAAAATAACCCATATGCTCCAGATCTGTTGGATTTAATTACCAGGTGGTAAATATTAATGGAAATGGCTTCAGAGAATAAAGAATAAAGCATCGTTTGCTGAGATGTCTTCATATCATAAAATATTCCTTAATATTGATAGCTCTTGCATATGTCCGGGCTTACCTACTATTTATAGTTACTCCTGGTGCAGCAATGTAGTAAAATTATTTAGTCTATGTATTTGATATTAATATTTGTCATGCTTCATGACTTCTGTCGTTATTCAGAGTCAATGTTCTTTATGCTTTTGGAAAGGAATAATTCTCCATTGCTAAACTAAGCCTGCACAAAGTGTGTTTGCAAAAATGTTATGGTTTCTGACTCCGGGTTGACACAGACATTAAAAAAAATGAATAATGCTTTGAGGTTAATGGGACTTCACATGTAAAACCTCAAAAGGTTGTTTAGTCTCCTCATTAGCCTTTGAATATTAAAACGTTCATCTGTACATAATATAAAAATGCTACATTCTGTTGGTATATAGGTCTGTGTCTCCCCCCTCTTCAGCAAAATTGCTAAAGATCCAGTACATCGTGACTTCCCATGCAGAAGGAGAAACCCAGGCTAACTCTGAAGGATTGAACCGGACTGCAAATTTAGTTTTTAGGAAAAAAAAAAACTCTCCACCCCTTAAAGTTACACCACTGGCCCCATGTTTGCTCACGTGGCAGGGGATGATAATTTAGTGTGTTATGAAGTCAGCCACTTTGTTGTGTGAGCTGTTCTCATTCGAAAGCTGCTCTGATATGACCGATTGCCTTTCACTGGGTCAAGCGCTGCCTTTCTGAATCTGACTTCATTAATAATGAGCAGGTGCCAAAGTGTTATTTTCCCCGCTTTTTTAAAACGCCAAGCCTCAAAAAAGACCGGAAGTGTAGGTTACAGTCCTTTTACCCTGTGGAAGTGCCGGCAGCGCTGGGGCCCGTGAATGGAAATGAGTTCGTCCTAGCTGACTGGCGGCATTGTTCTGAAGCTGTATCACCATCTTCCTGGCGCTGGGTTTCTGTGCTGCTGATTGATTTCCTTTTTATGTACCATTATGCTTAGCACGCACATACACCGGTCGCTCAGGCGGCACCTGCTTGAAGAATATTACATGATTATCTCCTTGGTGGATAATTTGCCTATTCAGCTGTTCAGCCTTAATCTGAAAGTTGAGTGAGAGGCTTTTTCCGTGAGGTCTGTCGGATGTGGGCTTAATGCATCCACGTGTGTGCTCAGAACACTTGCTTTGTTTGTGTTCTCCCTCTCCTAATGACAATTTAACTTGCCCATGAGTTGGAATGACGAGGCGGGAGCAGTCAGGAATTAAAAGACCTGATGTGAAAGTGATACAAGTGGAGTCCACCTGGTTTCCCATATTCACATTTGCAGATGCATCACTTATCCTTGCAGGGTTATTTGCTGCGATGGCAGTAATAATGCTGGGTTTTTATGATTCTGTCTGGGATGTGATTGAAATAGCACTGTAAATATTTCAGTGAATCTCTCGTCGGAGGTGGGCAGCCTTTTCCCTAGGCAGCACGTCCAGGATATGCCCTGGCTCTGGTCACTCAGGTAGAGGGTGTGCAGTCCTCTCAGTGAGAGACAAGGGCACAGAATATGAGGCATAGAAATGATTGGCCAGATGTGGTACAGTGTGTGCAGCTTCTGCTGTGTGTCCTTAGGTTACACCAGCACAGTCAAAACAGTCCACAAATAACTGTGGCAGATACACAGCAAACACACTCTGTTATTAGTGTATCTATTCCCCATTGGCTTACTTGCTTAATTAGCTTAAACATTGAAAACAAAAGCGAATAAGAGAGACAGGTCACCATTTCTGTATCTCCATATGGTATGTCTCTTACAGTTAGGCGGTAGATGTAGTTATGGCTGGGTTAATTATCTATATAGGAGCTGATTTAATGGTCTAAGACGTCTGTAGATTGGGCTCTCAGATTGGGCAGAATGAAGAGAAATCAAACTGTTTATGTACTCTTCCAGTAAATCACAACTCCAGTGGGGAAAAAAACAAAACAATTTGAAGCCCAGAGATCAAAACTGTAAAGGTCAGACTAGATTCATGTAACTTTTCAAATTATTATCTGCTACAGGTGGGCGTGAAAAAAAAACATTCATTTTTACCAGTGATGTGACATGATAGTGTTAACAGTTAATTTAAAAAAAAGGAAACAAAGTAACCTTCCAGGTGGCATTTAGGGATCCTTCTGTCTGACTTATGCCACCAATCTTGTGACCAGGAGGAGAGCAGGGTTAGTGTTTGTATTGGTGACTATACAGTTACTATACAGTGGAGGCATGCTGCAGCTGTGAGTTTGAGCTTTGGTTGGAGCATTTTGGGTGATGTAAGTAGTGGAGTACCACAAGGATCTATATTAGTACTACTGCTCTTCATAATTTATAGATCTTGAGACTCTTGTATAGAAAGCAAACTAGTCACTTTTGGAGATTATATCAAAATAAGAGGATGGGCCAATACTATAGCAGCTACAATGGAAATTTGAAAAGGGTTAAGATAGAATTCAAGTGCAGTGTTATATACAGCTAGAAACAGAGCCTTAGCCTTGAACTGAGGGGACCAGATACAAGTACTCATATTCCTCTAGGGCACTGACACAGTCAGCCAAGTGGATTTCTTCAGAGTGAATAGTGAAATATGAATCAGAGGGCAAAAGTGAAAACTACATGCAAATGCATTCTTTACACAAAGGGTGACGGGAGTATGGAACATGCTACCCTGTTATGTCATTGAAGACGATACCATCGCTGATACTAGTTACTAAATACTTGCTTATTTACTAAAAAACTGAAGCAGCTGTGCTCAACAGCCTCCTCTTGAGTGCTAACTGCATGTTCTTGTGTGGTAACCACAGCTCCTTTCTTTCACACAGGAATTGGAGATTAAAAAAATGGCCAAGACGGGGAACAAAGAGGCCTGCAAAATTTTAGCCAAGCAGCTGGTCCAGTTGCGGAAGCAGAAGAACAGGACGTATGCCGTGAGTTCAAAGGTCACCTCGATGTCCACGCAGACCAAGGTCATGAACTCCCAAATGAAGATGGCTGGTGCCATGTCCACAACTGCCAAAGTAAGAGCTGATTGTCATTTGCCGGTCATATTTCTCAATTGGTTCTGTTTAATCAAATGTTTTATAAGCTTGAATTCATGGTGGTAATGTGTGTCTGAATCTTAGCACCAAACTGAAGTATTCCTCTTATTCTTCACCTCCTTATGGGGCTACAGAAATAGTTTTATGTTAAAATTAGGTCAGCATTTGCTGTGAAGTACTTCAAAAGGATGCTGGAGCAGCCAGACTCTTGACACACTCCCAGCATTCCACACTTCTGAGGTAAACTACAGCATGCTGTGACCAGACCAGGAGAAACGAGGAATATTTGAACTTGCTGTAGATGTAGGTTATTGCTGCTGATATTTTAAACAAACATTTCTTTGCACCTAAGCTTATTTTATTTTTAATCCTTTTATTTAACCAGATGAGCCAATTGAGATGACATTCTCATTTACAACAGTCTGGAAAGTACCCGTTTATAAAGCAGGGTGTTACTGGGGTAATTTGAGTGGGAAACATTGCTCAAGGGAACAACAGGGATTTGAATCCATGACTTGACTCCAGGGCCAGCTGTAACCTTATGTTTTGCCCATGTAACATATTTTCATTCTTCATGCTCTGTACCGTGGGCAGATTAAGAGAAAGTAGTGAGGGGATTATATGATTTGACAGTGGTTGACATTTCTTCTGAATGGTCACTTTGTGATTAAACGTCTAGTGTCAGTTTCCTGATGCTCATCTAACTCTTGACTCCCAGCTTAGCATCAGACCCAGAAATCAAGGATCAGGGATATCGAAATTATGTGCCTTTACCCTGAAGCTGCTGTCCTGCTCCAGACGTTTCACAAATGTTATACACCTGTGTTGCAAGTGAACGGTGTTCTCTCTCTGGAACAACAGTCGTTCCTTTGAGAGGTTGGCATGTCTTAATAAGAAGTAAATCATGTCAGCATAGTTGTGAAAGTTGGAGAAGGTACTGAGTGGAACTAAATTGCCCTTTTGTTTTCCATGGAGTCACGTGGATCTAGAATTAAACAAAACTTGGGAGTAAAATATTTTTTCTTCTAGTGGGCAGGTCCTGGATATTTCAATACAAACCAAAAATTAGGTCGGTTTTAATATCAACCTCAGTACTCAGACACGGATTTGAGATTCGTATATATTCTACATGTATTGTGTACAGAAATTTAATTGCCCCCATACAGTATATATGATTAAAAATGTACAAAGAGTTTTGCTTTTCCCAATGATCTCAAATATTAATTGCATTTTGAAAGAAAAATGTGAAAATTAGGTCGGATTTAATCATTTATAAACAGTATGAATTAACCTAATTTTTCAATATAATTAATTTTGTTGCATTTAAATGAAACAAACTAATTGTTAATGAATTCTTAAGTGCATTGCAGAGAAGGCCAGATAGCATAGTATTGGCTTTAAATTATTCAAAGGGAATCAGGAGGGAAGAAAAAACATTTAACACGTGACTCAGAACTTATTCTACTTCTTTGAACAGATCATTAATCTTTATTTTCATTTGATATGGAAAACACAGTACAGTGAGAATTATTTTAATTTCTGAAAGCATAATGAGGACCTCCCCTGGCTGAATTGATGCTCAAAGGCTCTCCAGCTTTAAAACAAGAGAGATCAAGGGTGTGTGCTGTTTTCAGGGAAGGTGAGAGACGCAGTGTTAGAAAATAGTTTTCTTCCCCCGGTCCAGTCTGTGAGTTTGCCTTTGACAATAGGCAGGCAGAAGTTAGAAATTTGATTTACACATAAAAAATGTAGGAAAGGTTATAAATAGGAAGAGGCCATTTAGCATATTTAATTACAAGTAGCTAATGGATCCAAGGATCCTATATTGCTGCCCCTTTATAGACAGTTGTAAACGTTTAGTTCGTCAGCGTAACATAATTTCATTCTTTATGCTCAGTACTGCGGGCAGATTAAGAGAAAGCGGAAAGGGGGGTTATATTGGACATGGTTTGGCAACAAATATTTGCCCTTTTTCATATTTGCTTCAGTATTTCTGTCACTGAAGGTAGAACTTTGTGAAATAAATGAAGCAGGCCCCAAACTTTAGTGTTATTTTTTTCCCCACTCAGGCTTACTTCATCTATTTACGCTGGCCTTTTCACCTACCTTGCAAGTCATAGGAGGATTAAGGTTATTTGGTTATTTCAGAGGGGCATCACTGAGACATGCATTGATAAACCTACTATTGGCTTCCGGGGGTTCTCCACTACCTTGTTTGTGCTCTTTTTATGTGACATTCTTCTAAGTCTATTCTGTGCCGCAGTCATTTTTTGTCTCCTTTAAATTGACGGCTCTGTCTTTCCCTTTCCTTGACTAGACAATGCAAGCTGTCAACAAAAAAATGGACCCACAGAAGACTCTGCAGACAATGCAGAACTTCCAGAAAGAGAACATGAAAATGGGAATGACAGAAGAAATGAGTAAGATGAAGGCTGTTTTAATGCGTTGTCTATTAGCTGAATATTTCAATAATATGTGCATGTTTACAGTATATACATATATCACATACATACAACGAACACCTTTCAGGTTTATGGTGCAAGTTACAAACACGCCAAGATCCTAAAAAGTTGTTTCTTGTGAGTTACATTTTTGTGCCAATTTTATTGATCACAACAGGCTACGTCATGCTTATTTCAGAAATAAGAAACAACTGTCTATGGCTGCTAACTTTGACTATATACACAGGAGGCAGAATTCGAAGTGCTGGTTCTGCCCCCACCCTCCTTATTGTGAAACAGCAGGAGCTGATTAATATTAGTTCCCATAATATATGTATATTAATAAAAAGAGGTTATTGTGTGATGGGCAATGATTATAAATAACCATCTGTTTCAAGCTGTTCTGGACAAACGACCTGCATTATAGGAAGAAATGGAACCAGAGAGCAGTGAATGTCTTGAAAGTCTTGTCTTTACACCACAGATTTGTCTCGGGCTGTACAGCCACCTAGTGCTTATCTCATTATTTCACAGTCAAGTGTTCCGATTGAGATTCTGCCCACTTTCGCTTTGCCTGTTTCATAATGCGAGTCTTTCTGTCTGTTTCAGTCAACGACACCCTGGATGAGATCTTTGATGAGTCCGGAGACGAGGAAGAATCCCAGGACATTGTGAACCAGGTGTTGGACGAGATTGGAATTGAAATTTCCGGGAAGGTAAGGGCCATCGGAAGATATCAAACGTATTGTGCTAGCGCTTTCCCCAGATAGATCAGAAATGTAATCACTCCTGATTGCACAGCCTTGTCAGTTTGAGCTGCATCAGTGCCTTCAGACTCGGTATCATTCAGACTTTTTCCGAACGCATGGCTGTTTTTGTCTCCCGGCGCCTGTTTGTAAGTCAGGAAATAGACAAGCTTGTGTTGTGTTTTACTTGAAAAATCAGATTGCTGTCAGTGCGGGTTTAAAGCTCCAACTGTAGGTGAAAACAGATGAGTTGTTTGAGGTGTTGCCACTAAGCGTTGTCTGTCGCCCTTGTGATAAATGGGCTGCAGCAGTACTGTAGGTCTGGTTCCTCTGAGGAGCCCCTGAAGTGACTAACAGTAATAGTGCTAATTTGCCTCCGGACTAATAATTGCTTTGCATTTTCTACAGATGGTGAATGCTCCATCAGCAGGCAAAAACCTCCCCTCAGCATCTACCTCCAAAGCAGCCACGATTTCAGACGAAGAGATTGAGAGACAGCTGAAGGCTCTTGGAGTAGATTAATCGGCCGCTCCTTCTCCAAATGGATCTGCATCTCTTCAAAATAAAGTGCTACTTGAACGAGCAGGAGCTTCCCCCAAACCCCTCCCGCATCTTCCTTCATGGATTGTATCTGTGGCAACCACGGGGCTTCAAAAGTGAATCATTTTAAAGAAATGGAAATTTATTCTTCAGCCTGATTACTGATAAGCTTTTCTTTTTTGCCTGTTGTGTTACGTTGAATAGATATGGGTGAAAATTAAGGTTTGCTGTTGTCTTGGAATTGGTACCCTGCTAGAAGGTAGGGGGCTTCAGAGGTGATGTTAAATGCTGGACTGAGAGGTTTGTCCAGGTTAAAAGTCACATGATACTGTCCATGCTAGGAATGATATCTTTAAAAACTATATGCAATCTACTGAGAAACAATGGCTTGCTAGAGGTGGCATCGAAATGCTCTGTGGAAAGATTACACACTGACTTCCTATAATGCAACGTTAACTGAACAACAAAAAAAAAACCATTGACTGCTATGTAACTACCGAAAGGGCAGTTTTATTCACTGTATTTCCCTACAGCTGTGCTTGTAACAGTGGAGATCTGCTCATGGTGTAGTATGAAGAAGGGTTGTACATCTCTTTAGACATTTAAATGTTTTTGAATGGGGTGGGTGAGGATGAAGCAAGGGGAGTCTGTTGTCATCACTGTGCATAGACCCAGTTGTCCTCTGTTGGGGTTCACAGGGATGGAAATAATCGGGTGACTAATCTCTTCTTTGTCTGATTATTGTCTGAAATGTTGTGAATAATCTTTGCTTATCACATAACGCTTCTTTAATCTTCTCGCCATTAATCGTAGTTGGACCGAAACAGTAGGTCAGCACTATAGATAATCATGCCTGGAACATCGAAATCAGAGTGCACACACCCAAATACATAACAATAGGAAATCCATAAGAATTTTGCTGTAATGCTTGAGGTTTAAAACTTACCATTTAGCAAGATGACTTCCAAGTGTTCCTGCTGTGATTGTTCCACTTCCACTCTGTGGAAGAGTGCAGAAGCATCAGGCTGGTCCACAGTAATGAGAATTCAGTGTTGTGGTGATGGAAAGCACACCTATTGTAAAATATCTTGAACAGGTGACAGCGGGTCCTCATTGCTGACAGAGTCATTCTAGTTAATTTCACAAAAATTCACCATCACAGTTTGGTCCATGAAGCCATGAAGGAATTTTCAAAGCAATGTGCGTATTGCTTTTTAAGAAAGAAATCATAAATGGTTTTGCGTTTTAGCCTGTGACGAATTTCACCTCTTCAGCTGAGGGCTGTATTAGCACATAGGGTTCTCGGAGCATGAAGCACTGAGATTTTTCTTGGTTTGCTATTGAGTAAGGAACTACTGTCAATTTTATTGTTAGGAGCTTCATTATGTTTTCATCTGAGCTCAGGTGCACACATACACAAACAAAAACTGTGATCTCTTGCAACCCTAAGTGCAACACATTTGTATCTTAGGGGTTTGAGAACTCTGATAGACGTGCCTTCGGGAGCTAAGCCTTATTGGTGGATGGTGTAACATGACAGCAAGGGGCACTTAATAAAAGCAACATGAAAATGCATCCCTGCACAGCGGTATAGTCAGGGATGGAGAATCGAAGTGAACTGTAGGAGATTAACAGCCTTATGCCAGCTCCGCTCTGTTGAAGTTGGAAAGGCTGTGATTGATGTAGACGTTGCCCTAACCCCTTCTTGATTCACACGAGAGTTCTGCATCGCATTGATTAGTTGGCTTCCAGCAGGGCTGAACCGGGGCTCTCCATGCCACTCCTGCTCTGTCAAAGCTGCACAAGGGAGTGGCGCCCTTCTGCTCCTCTCCTCAGCCGTTGACCTCCCTTTGCTGTCTCGCTGTTTCTCGGGTAGCCTTTGCCACTTGTGGTTGGGTTCCTATCTCCAGCGGGATGCGTATCCCTGAAACATATGGACACGGAGAAGGACTAGAGCTCCTGGAGAGTGAAGACATGTTCGGAAGGCACTCTCATGACTGATACTGGAGACTTTCTGTCCAGTGCATGCTTTTAACCCCCCAGTATACTACATTTTCTTCATCAGGTGCACCCTGATGATGTGTACCTTGATTACCTCATAGATTTAACAGAAAGTGTTATGTGTTGATGCAGCTGGTTCGGGTTTCACACTTTCTGGCATTTGAACATTATGCGGTACATTGTTTAGACCTGTTTTAATCATAATAAACACAGGCCCGTGTCTCCTTGAAAACAGACCCTAACAATCGCAAGACCTGATCTCTTTCAGAAAAGCCTCCAGGAATAATCGAAGCAGCAGCACAGCTTTAAGAACACGGCTGCAGCTGGGAGGATCTCATTTTTCTTCCTTCCTGTGTTTTACCAATCCCCAAAATTAATAAACTGTAAATCCGGCATATTCTTTGATCTATTCATATGGAAATGGTTCCTATAAATCTGGGTCGGATGGCAAATAGAATTAGAAATTGCATAAACATTCCCAAACTACCAAACTCTCAGATTGACTTTGAAGTTCATAACTTGAACCAGTGCTGCTGTAACACATTGGCCCTTTTCTGTAAGAATAAATCAGTCTGCTTACATATTTCTTCCTCACAATCCATCAGTGTGATTAGCAGAGACTGACATGGGGTACTTTTACTGTTATTAACAGTGACACTACATTTTTAAAGCACTCGTCTATAAATATGATTTAACATAAAGCTTTGCAGTTTCTTCAGTGGGTGTGAGTAACAAGGTTTATTCTGTATTTCAAAAGTATGAATTTTAATTGTGTTCACAATCGGCATCTGGCATCTCTGCATGGATGGCTGTGAAGGTTGTGGTTTCTTTCTACAGTAGGTTTATTTAATAACATTTAACTAACATTGGAAAAAAGGTTTTTAGGCCTTTTTATTACGAGGACTGTAATGTTGTACAGTTATTTTTTTGTTATTCCTTGCCACAAATAAAGTTTTTCATACGCGCCATTCTGTGTGCGGTTACTGCCATTAAGCTTGTTACAACAAAATGTTGACTCGTTTTTTGACCAGTCTTTTTTTTAAATTCAACATTAATCATAAAGATTTGCTGCAGCATTTAAATCAAAGCGAACCAAAATTAATTATGTTCACATCTTAATTAATTCTGAATATGTAAGTTCTCTTTTTTTGTGTGGAAAAAGCTGACTGTGCTATTTACATTTTTAACTAGCTATGCAGAACGTACAGAAATAACCACGGACAATTAAAACAAGTGTTCTCACTACAGCAGTCTTTCAGAGCAATAGTGAAGTAACTGGTAGAGAAAAAGGCTATCTGTGAATAATATAGATCTCTTATAACCTGATTGCTCTTGTGCTAAATTTATCCTGTCCTTTCTGAATTTTATACTGTATGTTGATCAATATCTCCTTGACTAAAAGAGCTGGAAGTATTTAGTGGTTATAGAGTACTTGAAGGTAGTCCAAATCAACAATGTAACAAGATAGTTCAGGTGGGTAGCTGCGTCAGCATGCGTAGGCTGCAAAGGAACAAGTAATAAGTTTATTCCATGCTGAAAAGAGAAGAAAGAAAACGCAACGTTTCAGCCGAGGAGCCGCCTTCACACCTGATGGAATAAAACTATTAGTTGTTCCAATGTAACAAGATTACAAACAAGAGGAGGAAGTAGTTCATAGACCCAAAGCTCATCCAGCTGTTACTTGAAAGAAAACATACAACTACCTCCAATCATAAACCCACAGGCACATGGGGGTCCCCAAACATCCATCATCCAGCTCAGACCAGAAGTGCTGACTGAGGCAGTGCTATAGGCTGACATGATTGTCTGTGAAACTTGTGGGCTAAATCATCCAACATCTGGATGGCTGAATAGAAACAACATGAGAATCTCATAGACAGGGCTTTTCAGAAGATGAAATTAAGCTTAATCCCCATCTTCATATTGTATAACAAAGTTCATAAGAGCATGACAGAGGAGGCTATTAAGCCCATCCGACCCATTTGGTAGCAAGTAGCTGATCGATTTGAGGATCTCATCCAGCTGTTTCTTGTAAGAAGCCAAGGTATCGACTTCAACAACATGACTTGGGCCGCTTGTTCCACGCTCCCACCACCCTTTGGCTAAAGATGTGCCTCCTGTTCTCCAGTTACAGTATGGGCCAAGCAAACACTGCTTTCTCCCGTCGTGAAGGGGATTCACCTATCGGCAAAGGGCAAAGGCTTACAGAGGGCTCTGCCTCTGCTCAATGTGGACAGTGTCGACTCTGGCCTGGGTGCATTTTAAACAGACAGCTGCTGCTGTACATGACATTTCTGGAATTTACGAAAGGTGGGGATAACATCATCAGGGATAGCCACTGTCCCATAAGTTGAAATATTTTTTATGATACCATTACGATCAGTAATGGTTCCTCATGAACAGTCATTCATGTTAATAACATAGGGTGACCATGGCTGGTTTCGGAATATAAAGCCTATGTAACACTGCCGGAATTTGGGACCCTGTGGGGGCAGCACCTTTTGTGTGTCTGGAAATGCCCATTTTCATCACAAATTAAAACTAATCTCAGACCATCTCTGAATTACGCTGCGACTACTTACGTACCCACAACAGAGTCTGTCCCAGCAGATCTGTGCAGGACCAACCCCTTGTGCTTTCAAAGAACTCTTTAAAAAATTTTCCATGCATTGTGACAGGCGGGATTATTGTAGTTAACGCGCCTTTTAAAATCCTGCAGTAAGTGACCCAAAGCAAGGCATGGTTTTGCTGTTAGGTGCTGTAAGCAAAATCCTGGCTGTATGCAATGGAAAAGCACAGGATTCATTCCTCGGAGTGTAGTCTATGAGGTCTCTGCATACCGTATGCGTCACTGCCGTATGCGTAATGAACAGTGTGGAATTATTGTAAATGCAGAAAGCAGCTTATTTCTGTGCTCTGCAGAGTAGGACTCACTGGGGAGCTGTTGCAAAGGGGATGAAGGGGTTGTGATTGCACTCATCTCCCTCTGGCACTAAAGGAACTGCTTTACAGTTTATCCAGGAGGCTGGAAAGACGGGCCTACTCATTTTTCCTTTATACGCTTGCCTTTACAGGGAAAGAAACCTAAAAAGTAGCCTTGCGGTAATTTTTCTGAAAGGCCCAGTGCTTAACGTGCGCTCTCTTTTCAATTGCGATCACGTTTCTCAAACATGTATACGTACACGAACCGTCTCGACTCGTGGTACAAAATGGCTGGAATGAGGTTTGGGTTTTGGACAGGGGAAATGCCTCTGTTGCTGCATACCTCACCTCTCACTCTCATGTAGGGTGAGGAGTTTTACACAGACCAGAATGGCAACAGGAGGTCACCACCCATCTCCTTTAATCTCTGCCACTGTTGAGCAGCCATCGCAAACAGGTTAATTTTGACAATGTAATAAAAAACTGACAAGTAAACCAAACAGACAAGTCAACAGAAAATATTGGCACAACGCTTCGCTTTATTGGAGCATTATACATTCTTTTTTCCTGAACAATTTGGACTTAAATAACAAAATACTGTGCTGCAGCCACGTGATGTCATAAAACTGCACTGTGTGCGTAATGTTTAGCATTTCAGTCCAGTTCCATTTCCCAAAATGGGGATGAGGATAACACTCTGGAGGCAAACAAAATGACATGATTTGAATGATCATAACAACAGTACAAAATACAAGCATGCCACTCTTGAATAAGGGAGATCGTTGATATGTTTGACGATTACGAATGGTTATTCCAAAAGAAATCGCCTCACTCATCCATAAAATGATTTGTGTTTTGAGAACTCCGAGGTGGGAAAGGAGGAATAGTGGAGTGGTTTCCCCAGAGAGACTTGGTGGAAGTCAATGAGTGTGGAGGTGTTTGTGGTGCAAATTGTGCCAACACACTGCTGAGTTGTTGCCAAACAGGACAGAAACTTTGGAATGTTTTAATGTCTTATCATATATATATATAAATAAAACCTATAAATTAAATTATACTTTGTCCCATTTTCTGTGACTTATTTTGATGTTTATTAAAATATTATTTTTAATTCTATTGATTTTAGTGCTCTGCATTGGTTTTTATGAAATATTTAGATTTCACAAAAATATACATAAATAATGAAAAGCATTAACAATGCAAAAATTGAATATTGGAACCAATGGCTTTTGTTGACATTTTTAATGTACCTCAGTATATACAGTATATCTTCCTGAAATCCAGTACTTTATGATGATTATTATTTGGTAGGTATGTTTTATTGCATTAGGTATCGTATACAATATATATAATTTAACAACATGTATTGTATTCAGGGAAATGCCACATGTTCACATCCACACTAATTACAGGTTTATGTCAGTATAAATCATGTAAATCAAGAAATATATAAGGAAGCAAAATACCACAGACAAAAAATATAAGTAATGGCTTCACAATCTTACAAAAACATGCAGGTAGGGAGGTTTGTTTATGGTCACATTAATAGCAAGCATCTTCCTTGTTACACTGTGTGTAAATATTCCCATCTCAGCCCAATAAAACCATCCAGTGATAGACATGACAACAGTAATTCAGCACAACCCCAGGACAATAAATTGAAAATAACCCCATGAGGTGACACTGTTCTGAATACACATGCCTGCTCCAGGATCGCTGAAATATGTCTGTTGTCATTCACAACTGTGCAGAATTCAGGCAACTGGAAGCGTTCGGGCTTGCAGATCCTGTGGCTGACATTCAGCAAAACAAAAACAATAACTAGGAAACTGGTGACGGAAAAGGAATGGAACGTCTGATGTTAAACGTTTTCTGTAAAGTTGACAAGCCTATTTCTTTGGTAGCTGCAATGCTCTTTCTAATCCAAGAGCTTTGATAAATACAAATCCTTCCTGTTTATGACACAATGTTACTCATTTATTTACAGAGACATTTGTAAACAGAATATTTAGCATTCTGCGTGTAGAGTTTGAAGTGGCACAGTGGAGTAGTCTTTAACACTGTTGCCTTACCTGGGTAATTTTCTGACTGCTCTGCCTTGTGTGTGGAATTGCATGTCCCCTCATGTTTAAACTTGACAGTACAGTTTCATTTCACCTCCCAAAGACATGTTGACTAGGTTAACTGGTGTCTCTAAATTGTGTGTGTGCTAAAACAACCTCATAGCCGTTTCCTGGCACTCTTTCCATAGTGGAGTCCTGCCTTGTGCCCTGTGTTACCAGGGTTGGCTCTGGGTTGCCATGACAAATTCCAGGAACAAGCAGCTTTCTGATCACAGATAGATGCACTGGGTTATTAACACAATATCATGGCCTTTTATTGGTCCTAAGAAGTCTGGAGAAAGTCTTGACCTCAGAGCAGCCAACTCTTGGGTCAACAGTTGATATAATAACATGGCATATATTACATATTAATTAGCAGTATGGAAAAACAATATTATCAACTAGAACACACCTACAGTTGAGGCTCATTGAAAACAGGATGACTATTATTTTTTGCAATGAGCTGAAAAAAAAACGTCTTATATTCACAGTGACGTGGCACATTATAGCTCTGATTTACTTGAGAGACTTGTACTCGGTAACGGAATTCTAAAACTCTGGAAAATGTTTCTCATCTTAAGGCCCCTTTTCTTTAAGGAATGGTAATAATTAAATTAGAATTGAATAAGTTAAATAAATTAAGCACAGAGTATTT